CGGTAGTCATGCTCTGATTTGATCTTTTTTGATTTAGTTTCCCTTATCCATTGGGTTCGTAGGCTTCCGCGGCCGGAGTCAATGCATTCTTGGCTATCCGGGATGAGCCGCGTCTCGGTCAATTGTACTGACATTTCGGCCATCTTGCTGTGACCGTATATACTGCGGCAGTATAGCTCTGAAGAAGGCCACAGCAAGATAGCCGAAACGTCAGTGCAATTGACCGAGACGCGGCTCAACCCGGGTAGCCAAGAATCCCTTATCCGTTGTGCAATGCTGATGTTGCCCCTTGTTTTGCTTCTAGATGTAAATGTAGCTTCTGTAGGCGCACGTTTTGCTGAACTCTACTTTTGCTTGTAGTAGTAGGAGTAAAGTTAAGGGCAAGTTACTATTTTGTTAGCAATGCAGAAAATTCAAATTTGCTGTTCATTTACCGTTGCAAATAAGTTTTCTATAGCTCGGGGACGAAAATGTCTAGTTTTTCAAATGTTGCTAATCTTGCGTTTTTTAAATTTTATTTTTATTCATTTACCTTTAACTGTTACTCATCATCCAACTATTTATAGTAAAATGATGGGAAGGTATTCTGGAACTCAAGAAAGCAGATCTTCTCCCCTTACGTCACATACAGTTTTCACTTTTTTTGACTAAATAAATCAAAATATAATTCTTCATGCAACAGCCATGCTGTAAGTTTTGTTTTTGCTCTAGTTGGGGTTTACATTTATTTTAATATATTAATATTTTTTTTATTTAAAATGGTGAGTCTTCACATACCGTATTACTTTATTATAACTGTATCATGTTTTGTGTGTAATGTTACGTCAGTAACATGTCATTTAATTTGATGTTCACATTTAAAATGTTTCTTTTATTCTTTACAGCCTGAAGATGGGGTCAAAAGATGATTCCCCGAAACGCCTTGAAAAAACTTTGTTAAAAAAGAAAACTTTATAACTTGCGATTTTATTTCTAAATTTTTGTGAACAAAAATTGAGAGACATTGTGAAGAAAACATCGTGCCCAAATTATCCTCTGACGTGAATAAATTATGACACACTTTCTTGCTTTTTATGTGAATGTTTCTTTGGCGTGAATAATAAGCTTGAAGTTGGCACACAGTATCAGGTATACAATGCTAAGAATTTGCGACCTGTTTTTAAGCAATACGAGTATTGCTGAAAATTGTCTAAATGGATGTCGTTTCAACGCATCACCTGTTGTCAAGGGTCGAAATAACCCGAAAGTGGTGCCTCCATCCTCAGTACAAAATCGCGCACAAAGCTTCTTTTTTACTCGCTCGCATACTGCTTACGAAGTAAAAAGAATATTGTTATGCTGCAGACTTGATTGACTTGTTGCTAGACGCCTCAACTAGTACGGCCGGCCATTAGTCCCGTGACCATATCGAAGACGACGAACGCATCAAGTCATATTGGTGAGTGAGCTGACGGTATGTGGTATGTGAGTGAGCTGTTGGTATGTGGTTGATAAGATCTCAGAGTGGTAAAAGTACGTTATTTAATACTGTTTGAGATCTCCAAGGATTTCAAGCATCATCCCATTCAGGATTATTGAATATTCCGACACATGAATAACAACAATATTTACGTAGGATATACCTGAATAACACAAAATTTACGTAGGATGAGGATGTGGGAATCGGATCTGAAGTGGGATGTGGGATAATCTGAAGTGGGATAACAATGTCTTATATTTGAATCAGATCTGAAGTGGAATAAATATTTTATAAAACGATTTATCATTGGATGAAACCTAAATATGCTTTAGCTGTTTGTCAAAAAAATACCACGTCCCGTCCCGCGAGTGTCGTGAAGGTTTTTATGACGGGAAGTGGCGATATCCCCCCCACCCCTCCACCCCACCCACTGGATGGCGTGATCCGGCCAAAGACTTTGGAATATAGTAGTAGACCTACCCTCCTGCCATTCGGAGCGCTGCAAATTGAACACTGCGCGGTCCGCCATGTTGATGGCAAGTGTGTGAAGTGAATAGCCGAGACCCATGTGCGTTTACGAGCGTTTATTTTATAATTAAAGTTTTTAGTGAAACATTATGGTCAGTTGCTGTGCAGCATTCGGTTGTACGAATCAAAATTCGTAAGTTTGTATGTTAAAATCAAGCTTTACCACTTAGCAGACTGTCACAATAGTTTATTACATAAAAAATTAATAAAACAGCATTGCACAAAGTCAATCACCTTCATGAACCAATAAATAAAATTCTATTTCTAAAAGAAAAGTCAGTTTTATTACAACCCTGTCAAATGTCCCTAAATCCTTTCAAAAGAAAAAGTTCTCTATAATTATTAAATATTATTGGTTAGAATGTTTCTAAAAATTTATTTTCCTTATTCAAGACTTCATTTTTTTCAATTTTGTCCTCAAGTGTCGTACTAATAGGTTAATTGAAATTTATTAGTGGCCAATTTTCCTTCTAAATCTTGTGTATAATCAACTTGATGTGCTTTTAGGAAAATTTGTAAACACAAAGATTGTCTTCCTGTTCATCATACTTCATTATGAAAGGTTGTTCATGTTCCAGTAAACGTTTTTATAAACAAAACCCAATATAATTTGTATAACAATCCGTTTTGCAGTTGAGATTAGTCATAAAATGTTCTGTATAAAACAAGAAAATGTATTCTCTGAACTTTGTGAAGGAATGTCATCGATTCGAAGAATAAAAAAATACGTTTTATTACGAATATTTTCTTATTGATGCATCTAACTGAATTTTTATTCTTGCTTTTATTTCCGAGACGCCGCATTTGTATGCTCAGCTCAGGTGTTTTTGCCATCATCATTGCGCAAAGTTCAATTTTTGTTGCGCGTTGGACCTCCTTGACATTGGTGTGTGGGGCCTTGGATCCGGCACTGACCTTGGCTTGAAGAGTCTGGCAAGTGTATGGGCAAAATCTCCTGAATATTAACTTTATTTTTTGAATTTTGCACGGGTTTTCGAGATTTGGCCCCAGTGTGCGTCGCCTTCTTTCCATCTGACCTTCGGTGGCGATTGACGATCGCCCGCCCCGCCCGGCCTACGCCGTCGCCATGCAAATATCAGCACCCCTCCTCCTCACTTTCCTTCCACACCACAGCGCACATGAGCAGCAAGCAAACCCGCGCGGTACCGACCATCTCTGGCAGAGTGCAGCGGCTTAACGAGTAACATCACAGCACCGTTTTGCATTGTATATGGAGAAGCATAGATCATAACTTTAGATCGCTTTCGTGTCGTCCAAAAACAGTGTTTAATTTACGATTGATAAATTAATCTGGTTTAGAATGATCATTGGGAATTACCTGTTGTTTCGAGTAATACAAGGTGTTGAGTCGTAGTCGTCGTCGTAGTAGTCTTCGTAGATGGTACTACAGCTGATTTAATCTTCAATATGCCTTCCATTACCTCCTATTCGTCACAATAAATTTTCCACCACAATATGAATAAAAGGAGATGCAAAACAGACTTCTCTTTTCGCGGCAGGAAGGTTTATAAGTATATTTAATAAGCTATATTTTGAAGCATATGAAAGTTTTCAGTAAAAATACATACATTTATAAAGAATCAAAGCGTCCTCAAGAAGGTCAATATTTACGTCAACTCAATATTTTCGTCAACATATCTCTATACATTGTATAATATTACTGGACCAACCTACAAGACGCAATATTTTTGCTCAAAAAGTAGTTCAACGCTCACACTAAAGTTAACACGTGAAATAATAGGAAAACAGCTAGGTGGGTGGCCATTGCGTTACATATGGTTTTCAAAAAAAGATAAAATGAATCGCAGGTGGATGATGGAATGGTTTAAGAAAAGAAATTATTACACTCATGAAAATTTATTAACTGAACTAAGAATTAGTGAACCAAGTGATCTGGGACTAGACGATAAATTTTTTGGTGAGCTATTGCGAATGGTTTCACCTAAACCCTCTTTTCTATTTGTACTTGTAGCTCGTACTTCGGTGAGCACACTAACACTGTGGAGGTATTAAAACTAAATGAATAGTGCGCAATATTAATCATGGACACCATATTTTCTGATCGCGCCATGAATATCAATTTCATTTAGATTGAATCACAGTCTTTCAATATGATCTACAGAAGGTCATATTATTGTATGTATTGAGCAATATATTGACGTAAATATTGTCTTGGGTCCGCACTAGAGAGCATTCGCCTAATACGGTTCCTACAACCTTACAAATTGGTATAAAATAATAATGAATACACAACTCTATTCTCACAATTCAAAAAAATGAACCAAAACGATGATGTGTTAAGAACAGCCAATGTTGCCAATGGTGACGTACTAATAGATAAACACATTAGTTACAATATATAAAAGAGAAGGTCCGAATAAAATTATAATATTATAATTAACATATTGTTAATATTATTTGATTCATAAACATACTGTCTGAAATATTGAAAACCATACATAACAATATTAACATTTACCCGACTTACAAAATAGAAACAATTAGTCAATAAAAATTATTAAAGGGTTGATATTACATGGATGTATAAATCAAAGTTAATTGTTTTTAACGGATATATGGCATCACATATACAGAGCATGATAAATGACATATGACATCATTTCAATTAAATTAACATTTTTAACTCGTAATCAAGCCACAGGAAGATATAAGGATCTCGAATACATTATTCGTAAGACATTGTACAAATCAAATAGTTTGAATTAATGGCGTAAAAAAATGTCTTTCAATGTAAGTTAAAAAGGCGCGAAGACGTTCGCTGGAAGACGCGTCACAGCACGTAACGATGCGTTGTATGCTAAGAGGTTGGTGCCACTGGAAATTCAAGCGGATATCTCACACCCCCTCTTTTTATTACGACGCCGTTGCAAGCTTCAACTCGTAGTGAAGTCAGTAAGAGTCAGTTCTGCCCCAGCTGCCACTGTAGCTGCGCGTTGTTAACAGTAAAGTATCATCAAAGTGTGCAAGCAAAATGGCAGATCGTAAACTCCCCAAGAATCCAAAAGCGTACAAGGCCATGGAGATGATTGCTAAGGGCAAAACCCAGAGTGATGTTGCTGACCGTCTCAATGTTTCTCAAAGCACCGTAAGCTCCTGGAAGAGACAAATCGAGTGTCCCAGCGGCCGCAACCCAAGTCAGAACAGCTCCCGGTACATGGAAGTGAATGACGGAAGGCGCCTAGCTGTCGTTGAGCCTGGACGCATTGTCATTCAAGAACAGATTCGCAGCAGCAAGATATTAGAAGTTGGGTCCACACAACGCCGCTACTAGCGCCACCAACTTTGGCAGCCCGCGCGTGTTACAAGAAACTACCCTCATTCAGTTAAAAAAAGGCTTTAGAAATGGATTTTCGAGATTGTTTTCGTCGGCAAGCATATCATCCAGTTTACCGCGGAGTCGAGGATTTAATGATGTAATGTTTTTTTTTGTGAAGTGTTCCGTGAGAAGAATAAGTGTATACCAGAAAAAAGGTATAGGACGCAACAAGTGGTGTTTACAAAGTTCCAATTGAAATTCAAAATTTGGTAAAAATGATTCTATGAAATATCTTAGAACTTTCGATCAATAATTAGGGAGCATCATACGTTTGTTATGAACAGTATCAGAAGTTCCACATTCCTTGGAAGATTTGTTCGCGCCTTTTTCTACTATTGTCTTATCTCGTAACACGTCACGATGCCGGACAAAAAAGAAGAAAACATCCCTCAATGATTGTGTTTTTTTCTATTTCATGATTTTTGATTTAAAGACGACAGTACTCTGGTTATAATAAAAATTTAGTTAGCTCCCGATTATCCACGGTAGGATTATTCGCGTTCATAATTTTTGCAACGATAAATTACAGTATGAAATGAAAATTAACGCATCATTGAATACTAAAAAAAATCGAAATATAGAAGCTATTTTTCAAATCGAACACACGTCAGATGGTGAGACGTTTTAGTCAGATGTAACGACGCAAAATTATTGTACATTAATTCATTTTTTCGTATGTGTATAATAACAACTGTTTTGAATTGGTGTGTCCTTATTCATCCAATATGCGGAGCATCCACTGCGCTCGATCGACGTGGATTGCCCCCCCCCCCATTCTGCAAATAATTGGGAGTTAATTTTATTTTATCTGACCAAAACCTAACACAGAGCAACTGGCAAGCACATCAATACAGATGTTTTTTTACTTATATTTTTTTTTATTAAGAACTTAGTTGTTTTTTTTTACTTACATAATTTTGTGATTTAAAGGCATCAGCTCTGTCTACACATGCTCTGGTAATAATCAAAATAAATGTTTTGATCAGATAATAATCATCATTCCAAAGAGGTTCTGCATTTTTACTTAATGATTTTTTATGTTTGTTTTTTTTACTTAATTTTGTTTGAAATTTGAATGACAGAAAGATGTAAGACCTTACATTATAAACATAAAAAATGTTTTGATCAGAGAAGAAAAAGAAATTTGGAGTCCATTACTTATTAACCCTCTGGACCCTTTATTGCTTATGAATATTAGTATAGTAGAATTTTTTTGATCATTTTGATAATTTGTATAATAATGAGTTTGTTTGGAATTGCAATGATTTAAAGACCTAAGAATTCTGTTTGTGAACATAATCAATATTATCACTATCTGAGACTGTATTTGCTAGTGAATATTTGTATAGTAGTATTTTTTTTTGCCATTTTGAAGCTTGATACTCTTTTGTTTAATAATTTTGTTTGGAATATGATGGTTTGAAGTTATAGGTGATCTCTGGTTTTAAACATAAATATTTTGATAAAAAGTATAAATGTAGAGCTACCAATATTAACACTTTCTGGCATCATATTTCCTTATTTTTGGCAAGTTTGTTAGTATTTATTGGCCATTTCTTCAGTTCATATATGACCCTATTTTTCTTATATTTTACCCCAAAATGAAATTGTTAATGGAACATCAGCTTTTGTATAAGTGGCCAATGGTCTTCATATGATGTCCATATATCAAGAAAAAGTTAGTTTATTGTAAAACTAACTGACAATGAGAAGGTAAAAAATAATGCAAACCATTTTTACTTTCTGAGAAAATGTATGTATAATAATATTTGATAAATGAACAATGAAAAATAAAATTGTAAAGAAAACTTGAAAAAAATTATGGAAAATTCTAAAATTTGAAAATGTATAGAAAAATCTGTAGTTCTAAAAAGCAAATAAAACTTTTCATAAGTATGTTTTTCTATTAATTCCTTTTTATATTCCAATGCAATGTTCTCCTTTCCCAATGTGCAAGGCAGATGTGGAGATTGATAGTGATTTTCTATTTGTGAAGGTTTACTTGTAGTTATTTGCATACAGGATTTTGAATTTGGTTGAGTTTCAATTGATTAAATGGTTTCTCTCTCTTTTTCTGGATAAAAGAATAAAACCTGTGAATAAACTAGTCTGAGGGAAAGATACAGGAACAAAAAAATTTCAATCCTTTCTGAATATTATTACAGTATATTTTAAACTTACTTCTGAGGAGGCATGAGTTGATACATGAGTGATTACACAGAGCAGCATTTTTTTGAAAGGTAAAAAACAAAAACAAAATTATATCGGTGAATATAGGCCTCCTTTTGTAAATTATATATCGATATAAAAATTATATGAAATGTATTTAGTTGGACTGGTTTCAGTATTCATTGTATGTTTTGGCACTAAGAGGTTTAAAATCAAGTGGCTGTTATTGAATAGTTGCTGAAGTAACTCAAAATATATCTTATTTTGAACTTCAGTGGTTATAAAACTATCAAAATTCTACGAATATTATACGCTGATATTTTGTTTCTTCAACGATGTATGTTTTTTTTTTTACAAATCAGTTAATTGCTTCCATCAGACAGTAGCAGTGTTTGGAATTGTGTTAACTTACAGAATTTAATTTTGAAGAAGATGCTTCAATTTGATTAAATTTGAAGAAAATATTAGTTAAAATTAAATATTTTCAATATACAAGAATGCGTGAGGCCTTAATAAATCCAAAAATGGAATGAATTATGCTGGTGTTTTTTTATTTTGTGTAGTGCATCATTGTATATAAGTGCAATTAGCTGACTAAATTTGCTCTGTGAATAGCAATTTAATTATTACTTTGATTAAAGTCTTCTAAAAATCTGAAGTATCATATGATATATACTTACTCATTTCAATTTCTAAATTATTCATTTTTTGCTCAAAGGTTTAAATTTAATAGAATGTTTTTGGATTCCTGCTAAATAATTTCATGAAAAATTTAAAACAAAACAATGCAATTTTTAATTATTTGACATTTAATAAGGTTGAAAACCCTTAAGGCCTGTAAAACTTACTTAGTTTTTCACAATTCCAAAGCTTTGAATAAATTGAAGATCATGTATTTGGAATCCTTTTCATTACTTTTCTGGGGTAAGTCAGTCCAGAGTAATGGTTTTGTTTTTGGTTTATGTATATTTAAAACAGTGCAAACCACATATACACTATATATTTGTGGTGCAAATGATACTGAGATTTATATAAAAAAGTGAAACTCCAATTTGTATAATGGAGTGTGCATAAAAATGTAATAAATATTCTTTGCTATATTCTGTCAGTTTTAATTATTTTCTTGCATCTTTGAATATGATATTGTTCACACAGGGAGCATTCGCAGTCTTCTTTCACTTTGTGGTGATGTGAAGCTGTGCAGATTTTGTGATGAAACCCATGAGTCGCCAGATTTTTTATCATGTGCCTTAATTCTTGATTTCTTTCAGTCCATTTTCTTTCCATTGTGGCATTTTTTGAGTATAATTTTGGCCATATTTATCTTCTCTTCTTTTTTCTAGCACTTGTGTACTTTGCCTAGTGGATGGTAGTAGCAATTGGTATCTTTAAGTCCTTGAGTCAGTTCATATACTAACCTTTTTTGTGTGTTCTTTGGGAGACAGGTCTCTTCATGTATTGCCTTAGTTTTCCCTATGGACCTTTGACCAGCTATTGATTTTTTTCACTATTAATTGTATTCCGTATTTCATGATTGGGGTAATGACAGCATTAAATATTTTGATTGCTGATTCTAGTGACAATTTGTGGATATTTTTTTATTGAGTAGCCTACATGGCTCTAATCGCCGTTGCTGCTTTTTCTTAGATACAAGTTTTGAATGAGCTGTCGGTTGTCTGAAGTGTCATTCCTAAATATCTGTAATATTGAGCTATTTCGAGATGTTTGTTCTTGAATTTATTTTCTCCATTGCTGCTATTTTTCCTCCTTTTCGGAAGGTCATCTGTAGTGTCTTGCTTTATTGATTTGGTAATTAAATCTTCTTCTGTCCATGCTTCTAAATTGTCTACGGCTTGTTGGAGGCTTGTCAGGCTGGTTGAGCCTAGAACCATATCATCTGCATACATGTATAGCGATGTTTCCTGATAGGGCTGTTCTCCTTGTTATGTCTGCGGTTAGTATGTTGAACAGAATGCTTATTGGGTCCCCCTACATTACTCCGTTTGTTTGAACAATGACTTTTGAAAAACAGACTCTTTCATATATGCTTACTTTGATGTCAGCCAGAACATTCTCTAGAGCCTCTATCCTTGTGATATGCGTTTCTTTAATCATGTGTGCGAGATTTTAAAATAACGTTTTTGTGTTCAAGATGTCAAACACCTTTTGTGTGGTCAATAAAGTCTGCGTAGTAATTTCCTTTTGACTGTTTCAGGGCTTCTATTGCGTGTAATAAATTACCGATCGCCTGGAGGGTGTTTCTCTATTTCCTGAAACCGTATTGTTGTTCCGGAATTAGGTGGTCCGTCTCTTTTACACGTCTTTCCGTGATTAGTTTTGAGAATATTTTGAAATCGTTGTTTTCGCGAGCAATTTCCCTGTAAGAGTTGCGGTCAGCTGCGTTCCCTTTGCCTTTGTTTTATACTACTTTTATGGTGGATTTTCTTCGTGCTTCCTGTATTTCTCAGTTTTCCATGTATTTATTGAACATCTCTGTCCACGTTCCTAATAACTGATTTTCCGTAGCTTTGATATGTTCATTGAATATTATGTTTGGGCCGGCCGCTTCCTTGATTTTTATCTTCATTAAGGCCCCTACACACGTACCAATTTGTCGGATCGACCGGCCAGTCAATCCGACAAATTGCTTCGTGTGGAGGCAAGTTGTCCAGAAATTTTTGTCGGGTGGTTGGTTGGTCCTGACCACATGACTGCCGATACCCCCACCATACTGCCAAATTGTGAAGTGTGTAGAAGTGTTGGGTCAACTTACAGTGATTTCTGAC